ACTAATGAATTAAATTACAAGTAATTAAGAATTTGAAGAAAACAAAAGTAGTGGTTTTATTATCAAATGATATAAAGCTTAGCTAATACAATCTAAATTATAACATTTAAAGCTAAATTATACTAAGTTTTTTAAAAGAGTAAATATAAAAAACAATAAGCGTAAAAAGTATGAAAGTAAAAACGAATAAAATAGCCAAATCAGTGTAAGAAAGTATAGACGACTCAGAAATGTTGATTATGCTTTTGTTGGTTAAATCAGTGTGTGTGTGTTGATCTTAAAAAAAGCCAAATGAAGTGCTTGATATAGAAGACGCTATATATTACAATACAAATTATAAATACGAGATTTGTATTTAATGAGTACTTTTTCCTGGTTAACAAAAAGTATTCATCGACCCAGAGTGTAACATATACGATTTTTTAAGTTTCCATTTTCTTTATCCACACTATCTGTCCAATCCCTGGTTTTAACTAGAACAAAGTCTCAGGGTGTATTTCCACTTCAACTTAAGTTTACCCGTCATTAAGAAAAATTTTGCCTCTAGTCATCTATCTCAGACATTTAGCACTGGAGATCATTAACAGCATCCCCAATGATGCAATCAAAATGTATTCTGAGGGTAGTAGAATATATAACCAGGATTGTAGTAATATCTACATCGAAACGCCCCAGGAAGAATTGTCCCTGAAAAATCGCAATCCAGATTTCTGCTCAGCTTTCAGAAATTAACTAATAGCCAATGACGTATGACTTAAGACCATTCTATTCAAGAAGAATTACGGTGATCTTTGGATTCTCTCCGATAGCCGTAGCTCACTTCAACACCTTTACAAATGGTTTATTGTTGGTGACAAAACTAGTGTCTCCATTTTACACAAACTGAAGCATATATCGCTACACCATGATATTCATTTCCTCCCATCGAACTTTATGGCAATGAAATGGTGGACAAACTAGCAAAGGAGGGCTGTAATCTTCCAACTCCTTCTACATCCACCCTTACCTATCTGGAATAATACTTGTTAAAAAAATCTCAAAATTTTGCATAGTGGAGGGAGCTTTCCATTCATCATTGTTATGCGGGTAATAGACCCGGATTGGCCCTAGCCCTCAAGTGTGACGGATGCTCCCAGATTACACTTTCTCATCTTGCTAGTAGTCACATCGAATGCCGTTCATTCTCAGCGAACAAGAAGATCTTCTCCATCTGTGTAAGGTGTCAAGGTCACCAGGCTTCCCCGGAGCACATAATACGTTGTATGTATCTCACAAGCAAAGATATCTACTCATACTGTGCTGGACTTTTCTTGTGCTGGACTTTTTGAGAGTCAACGATTTAATTGATCTTGTCTGACTTCGCCCGACCCTGGGGGATTAGCGGCAACAACACAACAGAACACAATCATTATTTTTTATTTAACAAATAATACAAGTCTCGGGACTTGGATCATCCTTTCACTGTCACACAGGAGGATGCAAACGCGGTCATCAAGTGTAAAATTTCTGACCAGCGTTTCGTAAAACCAACTATCCCAGAGCTCAATTGCCCGAGAAAAATTTGTTGTCTACAGTAGCAAGACGGTATTTTGAAAGGTATGAAAACATCTCCATATAATTTCCGATCTTACCCCATCTGCAGAAATTGTCCTCAAACCCAATTAACACCAGACCATATTTTTGACTGCAAGGACATTATTGCATCTCTTTTTAAGCTTGATGCATCACCATAGGACATTCTTTACTGTCTTCAAGCTCCAGACCTGACCTCGCTTGTTATTGGGGTTTTTGGGCCAATATAGAAATTCACTAAATTTATAGACAAGACAAGATGAAGAAAAAGTTCTCCACATGAATAATGCATTTTTAATTGAAAGATCTACAAAGAACCAAAAGAATATTTACTGGAAACAAAATAACAGAGGGTATTTAATTTATCATATTATCATAGTTAAAAAATTAAGATTCATTTAAGTTTGAAGAAGGCACAATTTGGTGGTTTTCTTATTTACTTTCGTTTATGAAGTGTTAAACACCTACAGATACATTTTAAAATTGTTCATTTTTTTTAAAGTAGCTTCACAGTAGCATGGTAGAAGAATTCAGGTCCACTTCTAATGCATGGTCATAAATATGTCGATCGATTTTACATCCGATGGAAAAAAGCGGGAAACATCCATGCCCAATTCAAATTTAAATCTTCACAGCTTTTAAAGGAGTGGAAAAAATTATACGAAGCGGGATACGAATTTGGTATTCGTGGTTGAAGAATATATAATTTGAAAAAAGAATAACAATAAGAAACAAATATTTAAAATATTCTTTGCGATACTTTTCCAATTTAGTGCTTCCAAATTTGCCTAAAATTTATATTCTAAGATTTTTACATGATTTACAGGAGTGTTGAGTAATTCTCGTTAAGATTTGATATATGGTTCGTCTTTAGGCTGTCTTTTGGCATGATATTAAATAGAAACCACAATATTGAAATGTTTTATTCACGCAGAAAAATGACCCAGCATTGACCACTTGTAATTAACAATTTATTTTATTAATTAATACTAATTATTAATTCAATAATTTATCTTTTACGGGTTTTTTTTGACAAAATCGAAGAATCAATTGGTGTTGTCTTGAGGAATGATACGAGTTGGGGGTGGGGGATTTTCGACCATGGACCCCCCCCCCCCCTGAAAATTTTTTGTGTGCACTACTGATGTTCACTAGTACTTTTCTGTTTCGGTTTTGCATGAAACTATTAGTAATCACCTAAATTTTGATAGAATTACATTTTTAGTACAAATAAGAATATAGATAAAATAAATCAGCTCATGCACTTCGCTGTTGCCACCTTTTGCTTTTTACAGAAACTCTCTTTTAAAATTTACACGTTTGTGAACAATAATAATGCGAATAAGTGAAAAAAAAATTCCCTTGATATAAAAGTACACGTGTAATATAAGGACTTTTTTTAAAAAAAAAATTGAAAAACTTTTTGAAGAATCTTATTATTTGAATATCTTTATCCAATTACCAAATTTGATAATAAGTATAAGTATAAGTTAATGTCAGTTTTGAATTAAATGTAGATCACGTGGTCAAATTTATCACGGGATCGTCACGAATTTAGAAGTCCATTGTGACGGATCTATACGTGACCTCCCACTAATAATCTTCTTGGGTATTCTTTGGGGCTGACAAAATTCACCAATCTTCTCCAACGAAGGAAACGTGATATGCAAATTAAGTTTATTATATATAGCTCTTGTTCGCGAGTTAAGAAAGTTAGTGAGTTAGAAGTGAAGAGAATAGGTAATAGAAGGTTAGAAGTTAAGTTAATTAGAAGTGACAAGAAAGATACAAGGTGAAGATTACCATAAATGGTTAAAAAGTCCTTGTAAAAGATTATAATTTGTGAGAAATAATTTGAATTGATTAGAAGACTGCCCACAGTTCAGGTACTGTCACCTCCCTATTACGTTGATATTTAAAGTATTAGTCGTTAAGCGGAAATTAAGTATATATCTACCGTGTAAAGTAATATTAAGGAATAACCATTATTACAAAGTGGTTATTAAATGTATTCTCCTCAAATGCGACTCTCATCGCTTCCCTCTGTTGTCTGACTGGATCATCCTATTTATAGTGTTTCATTGATTTGTGTTTGAGTCGATTAAAGTCATAAATAAAATAATTGGAAATCATCATGTCGAATCATCCTTCATTTCCTTCCACATCTTTAGCTGGGACACAGGGTAGACGGGAAGTAGGTTCGTTTCACCATTCCATTAAATTTTGCATGATTTATGAAATTTATAAAAACAATAAAAATCAAATAGGTTTTTAAAACAATGTGAAATATTTCCAGTTAATATCATGTTCATATATTGTCTAAAATGTGCAATTACATTCGATATTACATGAAACTATGCATTGCAAAATAAATCCTGTATATTAAAAAAGCATATCCAAATCGAGCATTAAGATAAAAGAAATGGCTCGACAAGAAAGAAGACAAAGTCTAAAGGAATCTCTTAAGTAGTTGCCCAAAGAGACAAAGTATCATCAGTAGAAACGGGGGAGGCAGAAAGGATAAGCACCGCATCTTTTCTTCAAGGTCACGCACTCCACCCCTCACTCAACCCCGGGGTTTTTCTCGGAATCGATCACATCTCGCTCCCTCTGCTCAAAAAGGATGGCGGTCCTTTGACCAAGGCACATATCCTTGTCGGCGGTCGATTATTCAGAGAATTACATGACGACAGACGGAATTATTTCGGCTTTTGTTTGGTCGGGCCCTTGTTATCTGCTCCAATCAGGACACAGGACCAAGAAATCCAGGATTAGGATTGGATGAAATTGAATGAAATGCCGTTTCAGTGCTTGACCATTGGTTGCGTGCAAAGAAAAATATTTCTGGAGTTGGATGAAAGGCCTAAAATGGAATTTAAATTGCGTATAGCAAGTAAATATTAAGTCATGCACAAATATCGTAATGAAACGGGAAAGATATTTACAAAAGATGGAAGAAATGCAAGTGGATTTATTGTCTTAAAAATCCTTTCTTGCGGTAATTGTGTATACAGATGATTTTTTTAAAACATTTCAATGTGTTTAGTTAATGGTGTTTGAATTCGGGAACATTTTTGACAAAGAACCTTTTGAAAATCTCCATCAAGGCAACATAGTTGTTGCTTTTCCTAGGTATAATGAAGAGAAACAAGTAACATAAAAATTTTGTAAGCCAATTTCTACTTAGATCAACAAAGAAAAATTTGATTTTAGATACTTTTTATTAAATAATTACAATTATTATAAATATGTATATACATATGACAGAATCACAATATTAAGTGACAAAAAATAGAAAGCTATTTTCCGTTTTCCTTTCTATATAGGGTGTTGGACTATTTTGATTGTTACCATTCATTCATTTATTAAATTTAATTATTCCAATAAAATTGTACACCCAAAAGAAATCACATTCTCAGAAATTAGGCTATCCCAGGTGGGCTTAGAACCCACGACCTTTGGATTAGAAGTCCAATGCGCTATCCAGTACGCTACAGGGACACAACGAACGATTTTTCTTTTTATATACTGTTGGACTATTATTTTTGTGTGTGTTTGTTACTAGTTATTCATTTTTTTAATTTAATTAATGTGTTAATTTTTGAAAAAAACTGTATTAACATCAAGTGTCCTCCTTTTACTTGTTTAAAAAATGTATTTGAACATGAATGGATGAATAGAAAGTATTTTTTATTAACGATTGAAAATTTTAACATGATATATATGTATATATATATATATATATATTATATATATATATATATATATATATATATATATAGATAGATGGAGAAAGAAAGAGTGAGAGTGAACTGATGTAGTAATTGAAAAATGAAGCTTAACAAGGAAAAAAAAAATCTTTTAAGAACCCCGTGACAAAGAACAGAGAAGAGCAAATAGAAACGCAAGTAGATTTATAATTCTAAAAATCATTTCTTGTATTAGTCACGCATAGGAGGATTATTTTTAAAATTTTTTTAAACCTATTTAGTTAATGTTTTTTGAATTCAGGAGCATTTTTGACAAAAGTCCTTTTGAAAAACTTCATCATGGCGACGTTGGAGTTAGCCTTCTAAACACAATAAGAAAAAAAATCAAGCTTAAAAAGATAAAAATACATCGAATCTTTAAGAAACTACCTGACGAAAATAGTGTCCTTATATTGTTACCAAAAATATGTTTAATCTGATCTTTTTTCCCCATCATTTTATTTTCTCGCTCACATATACATCAAAATAAAATATCAATTAATAGTTAAAAATCTCTTGATTAACTTTCTGTCTGAGTTTTTATTTGAATTCAATTCACAGATTTACAAAGAAATTATTCTTAATACAAAACACTTTACAATGAACTGAACACAATACTTTACTAGGAATCATTACTATAAATTCGTATCAATGAGTGAATATTAACGTCGCACTGTTCAGCAACACGAGGGCTTTTGGCGACGAACCTCGTAATTTTGAACCATGGTCAAGTGACGAAGATGACACCTGAGCTGGCACCCCCTCTCCTAACTACCACACCACACTAACGGGGAAATTTGTATCAAATCTTTAATCTAACTAGCCTTAAATCTTCGGGTTGATGATTGTAAAAATATTTTTTATGTCAATTATAGCACAAGTCATGTCATAGGTAAGATAATTCCTAACGAAAAGAAGTACCGCAAAATCCACTCGTATAAGGTATACTTATTCTTTCAAGCAGCAGTTTTTCTTTTCTTTCTCGCCGCAACCTCTTTTTTTTACAAAGAAACCTGAAATGTACGAACACAATGCTCTTACGTTTTGAAGTCATTCATTCTAGGTATTATTCCAAACTTTAGAAAAAAATAGTATAAAGAAACCCTTTAAGTTCATAAGGGATGCCACTTTTTTTAAATAAATCATATTTCGGTGTATGTATAGAAGTCTAGATTTTTTTTCTAGCACATTTTTTAAAAATTTTTAAGGCTCTCAGGCTTTATACCTATAGCATGCACCTACAAATTGGAACATTTTTTGAGTTAAAAGTGCGTGTTATAAGCTGGATTACATGCGGTATGTTAAGATGGATATATAATTGACGATTGCAATAATACTGCATTCTTTCCTGATACTAAGCTTTTTTTTCACCTAATATATGAAGAAAAATTCTGCATTTTCGTATTTTCTTTGACTTTTAAGATGTGACCTTCCCTGAGACTAAGTACAGATTGTGTATTTTACTGGAAGAATCAGTTCGAAAAATTTTCAGCCAAGCTTTCGCCGAAAATTCCACAAATTTATAGCCCAATTTTGTACAAATATCAAATGCACATGTAAAGACGTAACATACGCAAAGTATCATTTTCGCGTGCAATGTATGTCTATGAGTAATTTTTTAAAATTTTTATTAAAGTGTAGTAGATTAACAAACTTTTTAAATTAATAAAAGTTTTGTTAATAAGAAATATATTAAAGTGTAAGAAAAAATAAAGATACATAAATTTTACTATTTGAAAAAAGAAATGCCAAGAATTGATTTAAGGGGACATGGTACGCGATTTATAATAAAATCTTTGATATAATGATTTGAACAATTTTTTTGCTTGTAATTTATGTACATTGATTACGTAAAAAAGATTTTGTGCACAAAATACTACAAACAGCTAGCTATTCAATATTTTTAAAAAAAATTTAAAAATTTATCAAGGGATTTTATGCTACTTTTCTTACAATAATGGACGTACACTCATGAAATTTAATTTAAAAGTACATTAAACTATGCATAAGAAAATTTTAAAAAAAATAAGTATTGCTTTGATTTAAAATTGCATATCAGCTTTTGTCACATGTACTGATAGCAACAGGTAGAAAAATATCAAAACATTAGGCACAATTAAAAAAAAAAGCCTTAGTATTTTAAATGAAGGTGAACTATAATTAATTTTTCTTTCTGAAATAAATCAGTTTAATTTTTTATTTATCAGAAGCCCAGTGGCTGAGTGATAGTGTATTGCACTTCTACGCCACATGTCCGGGGTTCAAATCCCGGGCTGGGCAAGGTCAACTCAATCTTTCATACATCCAGTGGGTCGATAAATGAGTACCAAGCTTGCTTGGGAATTGAACACTGGGGGTTCCGTGTCAAACTGACACCTTGACCGGAACATTTGCACATGCATCCCAGCGCTTAAGGCCACGAAAACTGAGATAGGCACAGTAGACCTTGGCCCTCATGGGCTGTTGCGCCACTGAAAAAAAATGTTTTTATTTGCCATTAGGTTATGAATATAAACGAATATATGATTTATCCTAATTATGCATTTTTTTAACTTAGAACTTTCAAAATTTTATGAGATTTTAGAAAATTGTATAATGAAAAAAAAATTTTGACTAAAAATATATTATTTGCATGTTTGACCGATTTGTGTCAAGTGAATCGTACTGTGTCTCCTTAACTAAGTAGGTTCTAAAATTATTTTTAAGGACTTAGTGATATAACATTGTCAACATAGATTAATTGTTTAGTTTAAAAGTGAAATTGAAATATATTTCATTTGAAAAATAAAATTTAAAACATAATTGGTATATTTTTGGATAATTTATCAATGGTTTAATAATTACGTTCTCACTAATACTATAAAAAGCAAAAAGATTTTGCTTTTTATAGTATTGTCTTGAAAACAAAATCTTTTTCGAAGAAAGATTTTGTCTTTCCCCTCTTAAAAATCATTCCATTGAAAATGGCTAGTTTATGCACTCTTTTTTACATCAGAACTATTTCATGTTTTGCTAAATGAAGTGTCCAGTGGGATAAATAACGTACAATAATTTCATTAAATAAAAAATATCGCCCGAGAAATTTTTTAATATTGCAAATACAGTTAAATGCAAGGATTAATTGACTTTTCTCTTAAAAAAATTCTCGTATCGTAGAAAGAAAATCTGGTTAAAGTAATTCCATTGATTCAGTAAATACTCCGAATTTATTATAAATAGGATATTAAATAATTATTGTATTAATTTTTCTAAATTAGAATTATCTTTCAAAGTTTAACACTATAAAAATACCCCCAAAAAAGTCTTCACATTTATTAACTAAGTTTGTAAGAAACACAACAATTTCACTTAATTCTACACGCATTAAGACTAATAAAAAAGAAAGTTCTTTATTGTTTAACTTCTCTTCTTATAATCGAATTTTCCAAAAGGGCTTTTCACACAGATTCCCTTCCACTTAATTCTCCCCCCCCCCTCCACAAGAAAAGAAATCATGGGACACGCCATCAAATGGAGTTAAAAATAGAACACTGCAGACGATGCAATAATAAGATTCGATTGATTTCGTGTGCAAGAAAATATCATTTATGAACATTTTGTACAGTTGATTTTTATCAACATCAACTGTGATTTTTTATAATTTAAGAATTTTAATAGATATTTGCCGTTAGATCGTTTCTCAGGAACCAAAATTCTAGAATGTCTTGCGCAGTTCGTACCTGATTAAGCCAAATTAGATCTGATGGCATTTAATTTTATCGCCAAGATCGCCATTTTGGCTATATTGTGCGTATATATCTCATCTGTACAGTTATTTTTGTACTAAATACATTACAAATATATTTAATATTTATTAGTTAAGACTATAAATGTATATATTAGTTTGGAGATAAAGTAGTATATTGGCCGTAAAGTATATTATATTTTGAAAATACGGTACCACTCAACAAGAAAAAAAATAATGAAGTTTTCTGAAAAATTGCATTGTTTCCTCCGATACTTACTTGCATTTTTAACCATTTTTTAAAGATTTGAAACTTGGCAAATGAATAATAAAAAAAATAGATACAAACATGTTTTCGAAATTCAAAAGAAAAATTAACTGTAGAGAAACCTGTATTATTATTATTAAGATCCATTTCAAGCATTAAAATCGATTTTTTAGTATAGATTTGAAGTGAAGTAAGATTAACTTTATTAATAACTGAATTAAAAATGGCAGGCAGAAAACAACCATAAATAAAAAAATCTTATATATTCGTGTAATGCCTCATAATTTTAAGGATTTATAATTTGAAATTGTATTTTTTGTAAGTGTCTCACAATGTCGTAGGTTAAAAATAAATTTTAATCAGTCACTATTGGCGAGCAAACTGTAATTTTGAACTATATTCAAGTGAAGTGAACAGAACACGAGTCGGGGAATTCCTCATCAAACTTCCACACAACTTTGTTAGGACAATGAGTTTCAGTTTCTATTCCGTACGATGTATCCATTTTTTGGAGTCAGAATCCAACAAGTAACCAAGAAACTAATAATCATGACAATTGCGCAAGCTTTAACTGTATAAAAATTGAACTTTTTATATTCATCAGAAAAAAATGGTCCAGTCTTAAGCTCTGTTTGTTGTTATTTAGAAAACTTAATAATATTCCGTTGTCCGGACACAAATCTTTCCAAGAGGATACTTAATGCTGTACATAAAATAGACGCAAATAAAAGCTATTTACTATTAGTTGTGTCATTAATTT